GTGACTGACAGTGCAGGGAGTGAACCAGTGAGCCTGCACTCTGATCACTTAGATGTTAATCAGTTCCCCTTGAGAAAACTGACAAGGATAATTAGACAGTAGGGATGGATGGAATAAGGAGCCAATTACCTCCTCCACCCCAGGTTGATAAAGAGGCAGGAGGGAAGTGCCGAGAGGGGAGCAAGAGGGGAACAGGGCTAGTTGAGCTTAGTAACATGGAGGCTCAAGGGAGGGAGAACTCTGTTTCTCTCAGGTCCTGGGGAAGGGCCAGAAGGTGCTGCTGGCACTGTAAATAGACTATGGCACAGGGATTGTTGTGGAAATGATGGAGGGAACTTAAAAGAAAAAGGACAGGGTGAAGGCACAACTCCTGGAGTTCATGCAGTTTCCACGGGGAAGAAAGCGGGAGAGGAGCCACACCCTGTGACCAGGGTCAGCTCCAGGCACCAGCTTTCGAAGGAGGTGCTTGGGGCAGCAGTTCATGTCCCACGGCGGCAATTTGGCAGCAGCTCTGCCGATCTTCCCACTACTGTGGCTTTCGACAGCGGCAGCAATTCAGCAGTGACTGCTTGGGGCAGCAAAATTGGTAGAGCAGCCCCTGCCTGTGACACGCCCCCACATGCAACCGAGCTGGCCAAACACTTATCTCCCTTGGTTTGTGAATCACTGTGGAGCTTAGGAAGGAGACAGGCATTCAGTCATAGAGGGACACAGAGTGCGTGTGCTTAAGGGCAGAAACATAGGCACCAAAGAGATGTCACTGCAAAAATATAGGCACTGAGCACCTTTAGGCACCTACAGGGTAAGATGGCAGCCGAGTGGGAATTTTGTGGATCACAGTGGTGCCTAAAAACAGGACTTGGCCACCTAAGTATGTTTGGGGATTGCACCCTATATAATTACTCCATATAAAATATTGCCACTCTGGAATAGTCTTTCTCCTCCAGAATCCTACCTCTGACAGTGGCAAGTGCCAGATATTCAGAACAAGGCATAAAAACCTATAATGCATTCAGCTGTTCAGTGTTATACCTGGGAGAGAGAATTTCTCCTGACCCCAGCTAATAATCTACTTGTCCCCTGAAGTTTAAACTGGTAGCCCTTGTAATTTTATTATAGCTTCTGTAACTGAAGACTTTGGACCAGATCCTCAGGTAGTGTAAATCTGTGTAAGTCCATTGACTTCGATGGAGCTATGCCAATTCAAATCAGCTGAGGATCTGGTCTTCTATTTTTATTCATTAAGCTGTTTGCCAGATGTTTATTAAGACAATGAGATAATATAGGTAATGAAATACATGGGATAAAAGCTACATTTTAATAGTGAAAAGCTGTTTGGACTTTTTTTAAGTAAATTGGATGTATGTAATATGGATTTTTGACCAATATTTAAAAACAACAGTTGTGATGCTAGACCTATTTAAATTGGAGTTAGCTGAACCATTTGTTTGGCTAGAGCCACCTACTGATATTTTGGAACTGTATTTTTGTTTGATGGATATTTTTTTTTAACAGCATCATCGGCATATTGCTTCCTTCATGCATTTCTCTGAAAAAGCTTACAGCAGAAGTTCCTGCTGGACAAATGTCAGGCAAGCCAGCTGATGGTGAAAGAACATAGCTGGTAAACTCTTGATTTTTTTTTTCTTTTCGTGGCTTAAAATTATATCTCATTTGCTGATATTGCTATGGAATTAGGTGACGAAGCAAATTAAATTTTAGTAAAGTTCAGAGTCCAGTTTTTAAAACCAACCCCTTCAAACAAAAACAAAAAATCTAGGTCAGGATATTTAGAGTTGAGATTAAACCCTTGCATTTGAGTCACCCTGTGGGGTTGTTCAGGGTGTTTGCTTGTTTGTTTGGGGTTTTTTTAGTATTGCAGTTCACATTGTATGTGTGATCACACCTCCAACCGTAGTACCGAAGAACCGCAGGGTCAGCTGTGGACAGTTTGAGGCTTAATTCTGCTCTAGTTGATTAAAGCAGATCCTCAATTTATTTTAGATGCCTTTTGCGTGGGAACTTCCTCTTTTTTCCCTCTCTCTTTAATTTTAGGTTTAAAACCGCTTCTGAAAATTTGTTTAATTTTTTGGACGTTCTAAAATATTTACTGAAACTGTAGTGGCATCTCCAAATTTAAAAATGTGCTGTAAAATTAAAGGTAAAATCCAGATGAGGCTAAACTTTAGAGGGCAGAGACTTAGTTCAACCAGGCAAAAATGTGTAAGCACAGTTACTTTAACTGCTCATGCACAGGGATATATTGTCTCTCATCTCTGTGCACATACAGTTATTCAATCTACATGCACATTTGCACAAGCATCTATGACATACAGACCTCTGACTCCTTCTATAAAAATAAATGTGGGCCAGAGAATTACCCAAGGGCATACTTTATTTTTAGAGGCTCTTTTGGAAGGAGGGCACTTGATAAAATGCCATTTAAAAACAAACAAACAAAAAAAAGCTTTCAGCATGCAAACATTAATAGTGTAATTTGGACTAATTTGCACTTCAATAGGTAAAGCTTTATTTTTAACTGAAATTTTGCATTGTTTATAAACTTGTATTTGGTTTCTATCAGTTATTTATATTTAGTAGTTTTTGCCTTTTGAAGTCTGTGGATATCTGGGAGCATGAGAAATGCAGGCATATGCCCAAAACATGTCTTCGCTTAGTATGACATCAGTTCACAAGCCCAAATCATCACTACTTGTGTGCAGGAGCACAGAGGAAAAGTCACAGGAAGTTCTTCATCTGGCCCCAGCCCTTCCATGCAACTGGCAGCACGTGTTGCAGGTTGCTCTCCCCAACCCCAAGAGGCAGGGTGCCAGCTGTGCTGAACGGGACAGAGGTTATATTTGAGCAGATTGTGAGTGTGGCCCCCAGCCATCACCTTTCCTCCCCAGCAAGACAACCAGCACTGAGGGAGCACAAGACATACCTTTACTAATAAGGAGTAGTAGTGGATGCTGGTTAGTATATTCCCCTAATTTAGTATAGTGTTTGTGCATGCAGATGTATAGCTCGATGCCTTATCAACAATCTGTGTGCACAATCACAATTTAGTGACTCAACACAGTTATCTTTGCGCACCTGATCCCAAACATTTTGAGCCCCAGCTTCAATATCCTAAACATGCCATGAGCCTGAGCAAACTGCCACTAAAGTCAATGGGAGTCTATCCATTGCCTCTGAGAGTTGGATTAGACCCTACGTCACTGCTTTCAGGGAGTTATGGGTGCTTACCACTTTGCAGGATCAGGCCCTATGTATATCTCTGTACTTTAGAACATGAAATACAATTTTAGCTATCTACATATCAATTCATTGTCTCCCCATACTCCAGAAAATTGATTGATATGGACTTCCACATCACAGACTTGTAAAGTACTTGGATTATAATGTTCTGGTACCATGGCAATCTTACTTAGTTGGAATTTTCCACATACACAACTCTCCTGGATTTCCACGATGGAATTCTTGGTTGCCTCGGGCTGGTGGGGAACAACTGTTGTGGACCAATAAAATGTTACTGTGTTGATGACAGCTATCACTCGGCACATATCTGCTCTCATACTGGTTCTTTACATGCAATTTTGTTTTGCCTTTACTTTCTTCTGAACTAATGTACTTTGTTTTATTGGATCTGTTCTGGGGTCCTGTGCGTGATTTGTTACTAAGTACATTGAAATTTTTGAGAGATTTGGAGAGGGTAAGGAATTTTTCAGCAGGATAATTAGGGTTAGTGTTACCAGAAAGAGTTCACTGGGTTCTGCTGGCTCAACAGTTATAAAAGAAATGGGTCTAATTCTCTAGGAGAAGATCTGAGAGGAGCCTTAAGAGCAATCATGCTCGGGGGCCAGTATGAGCTGAACGTTATCTTATTGTTGGGGGGAGGGGGTTTATTAGAGGATAAACATCCAGGAAGGGTGAGTTTGGACTCCATAGCATGCCTAGATTATTTGAACAGATATCTAATCTACCTCGCCCTACACATAAGAATGTAGACACATCCTACCCATTCTTGCATTTTTTTTCAAGAACAAAAGTTTTGAGTTTTATTTCCTATTGTGTTTTGTTTTTCTTTTTTTATGCTTGTCCATGAACCATCAAATACTTGTGGTTTCTAAGTGTCTCAGTTCATGCTGCTGTTTGCAAGAGGAAAAGGATTAAAACATGGATTAAAATGTTGTCATGTTCAAAATTTAAGCTGTGACTCTGAAAGAAATGAACATGTCTCTCTGCAGTCTGACTGGGTCTGGAAAAACACTTACCCTGACATTGGTTTTGCATTCGCATATTTCCGAAGACTTCCCCACACACTGTTGTTAAAGATCTCTAGTAGCCTGCTTTCCTACTCCCTACTTTTGGATGCCTGTAAAAGCTCCAATGTTGTGTGAAATGGGCTACCCTGGTCAGTACTGAATTGTTCTGTTTTGTAAGGGTGAAATTCACTCCCATGCAAAAGGGCTACACAAGACCTGTGTGCCATTTAAATCACATTAAGCCCTGTTTTGAGGCCTTAAGTGTATAGATGTATAGGCCTTGTTTGGTTCTCTGCACAGGGGTGAGAGAAGGGGAGCTCTGAGTTGGGTCCCAGAAATGAAAGCAGATGCTCAGTATGAGTGTCAATCCCTCTCTTACTTCGTTGGCTCAGACTGCTTCCTTAGCCTTTCAGTGATACTGGAAGTTTACAGAGGCGGTGGCGTGTTTGGGATCAGGTCTCCAGCCAGACAATACCACCCCTCTTTGGGAACTGCCTCTGCTTTCAAATAAAGTCCAAAAGTCCCAGAATAAATGAACTTCCCCTTTCTGGAACTGTCTTCTCCCCAGAATTTCCCTGTGTCTCTTGTGTCTATGGTAACTTCCCTTTCTGTAGCTATCCAGTTCTTTACAAGGCCTTTTTAAAGGCGAAATGTCTACATCTCCTGTTCCTTCCCCAGCTTTCCCTGTAGTGCAGGTTAGTAATATTTTTTTTCCTCTCCTCTCTTTTCCAGGATAATTTGCTGTGAAAGCCTTTAATGCTCCAGTGTTCTTCCGGACTACGAGTCTGGTATGCCTTGCAGCAGGAGCGGGACAGACTAATGCTAGACCGCAGGCCTTCCTTTTAAAGGTACATAAACTTTGTTAAAAGTACAAAGTTATTGAGGGTAAACTATCACTTTCCCTTTACTGAGCTGCCATGTTTTCCATGGAAGATTATTTTATTTTATATTTTGCCCCCAAACCAATTTTTTTTTTTTTTGGCCCGAAGGCTGAAATATTTCAATTTGGATATGCTGCCCTCATGGCAGCTGTCCCCATTCTCCTCTGTATGCCAGGCCCCCTGGCCAGACTGCATCTTCAAGGATGCACTTTTATGGTGCAGCTCTCTCACCAGGAAGGGTCACTGATGCATTGTGTGGGAGCTGGAGTTTGACCAGGGTCTCTGGTCAACAGAGGAGAGCGGGGACATGAAGCACCACAGCAGCATTTCTATAGTTGAATTTTTGCTGAACAAATCTCAGTTTCCCATGGAAAATTGAGATGAAAATGAATCTTTTTTTCCCACGTGCATGGACGTTATCCATGGTGAGGAAAGCCCGTTTTCTGACCCACTCTAGTTCTGAGTTGTGTTTTAATTGTGATGTAACTCTGAGGCTTGCTCTGCCTGAAGGTAGCGACATTATCAAAGTTGTGGCTCATATTACCCGCTTTCCTCTAACGCAGCACTTTTTGTGTTCCTTTCCTCTGTCATTAGCAAAAACCGTTGGGGATTTTAACAGTCCCAAATCAGTGCTACTTTGGAAATTAGGCTCCTTTTCACAGAATAAGGAAAGTCTTGAGAGGGACAATCAACGGTTTTGACTGGTGACTTCATTTTTTTCCCCTCTTAAGTGCCATATTATTTTCTACAGTTTGTTGTTTGTTCCTTCCTCTTTCTCTGTTTGGAAATTAATCATACAGGAAATGATTAACCGCAGCTAGCTCTCTGTCTGCCTGTCTCTGACTTAATGTGTCATATTAAGAGAGAGGCCTGAAAGTGAGTTAAAATGGATGGCTAGATGCACACAACATGCTTTTGTACAGACTTACAATCCAGTTGTTCACTTTGGCCATCCCACACAACTAGTCATCCGTTTAGTTTTAGTAGAATAAGATGTTTGTTAAAAATAACTTAGAACTACAAAGTTAGAATCTGAAATTGCCAAAGTTTGGGGATCCAGGGTCTCAGCGGGCCCATTTCTACTTAATTCCCTTGCAGCTTTCCTTTGTAGAGTGTGATGTCTATAAGAGAAGTCTTACTTCTACCTTTAGATTTTTAAATGAGATTTTTGTTGTTGTTATGACATGCTGCATATCATGACTGTTTTTTATTCTATTGTTGGAAATGATATCATGGCTGTCTAACCAATAGCTGGTGGACTTAATTAGCACAACAGTCAGGCACATTTAATTACTCCTGGGGGAATTCTGCAACTTGGCGCATGTGCGGAATTTATGTCCCCCGCAAATTTCTTTGCTTCCCCGCAGAAAAAAATGACTTTCTGACAGAGAAGCAAAGGGAAGCCACAAGGGTGGTCATGCAACTCTTCTCAGCAGTATGTTTCAGGTTCCCAGGGCAGCCGGCAGAGAGGTAAATCACTGTGGGGCAGGGGACGGGACTGGTGAAGAGAAGACCCGGCTGGTGGCTCCTACCCTCTGCCTGTCTCCGCTGCTATTCACAGCTGGGCTGGAAAGGATGGGACTTCCTCTTCCCCTGCATGGCACCTGGGGCCTGTTCAGACCCATGCCAAGATTTCTCCCCCTGCTGCAGGAAGCTCTGCAAACCCCCCCCCCCACACACACACACACCCCTCCGTTGCAGGGAGAGGTATCCCTGTACAGGGAGCTGCTCCCCCATACACCCACACCCCATGCATCCAGACCCCTCATACTCAGACCCTCCCGCCAAGCTTCACCCCCTTCCACATGCAGGAAACCCCATGAGCCCCACTTCCCCTGCACCCTGGACTACCCTACCGAGCCCCAACCAGCTGCACCTGGATCCCCACCCCATGCTCCCAGCATCTAGACCCCGCTGAGCCCCAACCACCATCGTCTGGACCCACTTGAAGAGTCCCATTACTGTTGCACCCAGAACCTCCAACAAGCTTCTGTGCATCCAGATCCCCCTGCACCCAGACCCGCACTGAGTTGCCCGTACCCAGATTGCCCCATAAAGAACCCTCTCAACCCACACCTGGATCCCCCCATGTTAAGCCCCTCCACACTTGGATCCTGTCTGTGACGGGTTTGGTCAGAGAGACCCCCCCTCCCCCCCCCTTGGGACTCTTACCTGACATACTGGAATTACCTCTGAGCCCGTTTTCCACTGCCAGCTTGGGACTCCAGAACCCTGCCTCGTTGAGCCAGACATGCTAGCCTGCTGCAACACAGACCCAGGTTTGGTCTACGCCCCCAAAACTGCAGACTTTAACCAAAAACTGCTCAGCAAGTCACCTATCTCCAGCACCCAGACACCCAGCTCCCAATGGGATTCAAACCCCAAATAAATCCATTTTACTCTCTATAAATACAGTGTAAACTCATAAATTGTCCACCCTCTATAACACTGATAGAGAGATATGCACAGCTGCTTGCTCCCCCAGGTATGAATCACTTTGGGTTAATTAATAAACAAAAAGTGATTTTATTAAGTATAAAAAGTAGGATTTATGTGGTTTTAAGTAATAACAGACAGAACAAAGTAAGTTACCAAGGAAAATAGAACAAAACACGCAAGTCTAAGCCTAATACAGTAAGAAACTGAATAGAGGTAAATCTCACCTTCAGAGATGTTCCAATAAGCTTCTTTCACAGACTAGACTCCTTCTTAGTATGGGCCTGATCCTTTCCCCTGGTACAGTTCTTGTTAGTTCCAGCTCAGGTGGTAACTAGGGGATTTCTCATAACTGGCAGCCCCCTTTGTTCTGCTCCACCCCCTTTTATATCTTTGGCACATGGCGGGAATAATTTCTCTCTCTGGGTTCCCACCCTTCCTTCTGAATGGAAAAGCACCAGGTTTAAGATGGATTCCAGTTCAAGTGATACGGTCACGTGTCCTGTGAGATCCCAAACCTCCATTCTTTCTGGCCTGAGTCACAGGAAGGCTTACAAGTAAACAGAGCCTTTTACAACCAATTGTTCTAGTTAATGGGAGCCATCAAGATCCTAAGCCACCATTAATGGCTCACACTTTGCATAATTACAATAGGACCTCAGAGTAATACTTCATATTTCTAGTTTTAGATACAAGAATGATACATTCATACAAATAGGATGAACACATTCAGTAGAGTATAAGCTTTGTAGTGATACCTTACAAGAGACCTTTTGCATAAAGCATATTCCAGTTACATTATATTCACACTCATTAGCATATTTCCATAAAATATATGGAGTGCAATGTCACACTGCCTTGCTGGGCCTACCTGCCCACACAGAGGAGCAGGGCCCTGGGGTGTTTCTGGGACAGGCCAGGTCCTTGCGCTGTGTTGGCGTTGGGTGCAGCCTCACTGCTGAGTCTGTGTCGGGTGCGGGGAGGAGGGGGCTGCACAGTAATCTCCCACCTCTGTGTAGCCAGTGGCATGTGCTCCCCAATGCCATGCTAGAGCCTCCACATTTACTTGACAAACAAAATTTTCAGAATTTTTGTAAAGGATTTTGGTGCAGAATTTTAAAATTTTTGGTGCAGAATGCCCTTGGGAGTAACATTTGGTAATTTGCAAAATAACTTAAATTAAGATCACAGCCTCCCTGCACTGGTCCTTAGTGTGCAAGATATGTGAGTTTTAGTGCAGTTTTTAGTTGTTATCACCACCTAGTGACTGGAATAAATGCCTTGAAAGAGGATGAAAACATATAATGCTGCGTTCTAATCCTCCTCTAGGTGACTTTGTAGCGTAGATGCTTTTGGATTTGAGAGTTTTTAGTTTTAGTCTCAGCAGAGGCAGATTCCTCAAACCAATCTGTGATGGAATCCCTGGGATGGTCTGTCTGATATTAGTAACATTAACCTGATGGATTATAAACCTCAACAGGTTTGGAGGGTTTTTTTGTTTTTCTTTGCTTTAAGAAAGGGAAGAGTTGGAGAAGCCCAAAGAAAATGGAGAAAGTCTATCAATATTCTAAGGTATATTTAAAAGGCATAGTTATACTGTGGTAGCTTCTTATCATTCCAGTCCTTGATGAAAGGTGCCAGCAACATTTTCAGCAATCATAGAGACAGCACTCGGGTATTTCTGTTATTACTTTGCACATGGCCCATGATATTGATTGTGGAGTCATCATAATGTATTGGATTTATCTGTGAGGTTGCCTCACAACTGTTGCCCTGTCAGCTATGGAAAATTCTTCTTTTAGCACAGATACAGACCTTTTTTTTGGAGCTTACGGACCGGGTTTCTAGTCTTGGATGAGATGTGTGTATTAGGTTCCTGTTATTGTATCTCTTGTCTACAGCACAGGATTCATTACAGTGTGTGCTCAGATACTGGCCCTTTTAATTTTTATATATAAAATAGCGGTAATATACAGTACTTTCCTGAAATAAAATGCAAAGAAATTAACCTTGGATTGCAAAGATCTATGGTCCTAAAGTGTCAAAGCCAGAGACCCTCATCCTTTTGAGTTGTAATGTGGTGCTTTGTCTCACTGTTCATTAGTGTTACAAGCACCTTCATTGTTTGCAACTACAGTAGGTACATTTATTATTGCACCAACAGAAGTTAACATAAGAAGGGCCATGCTGGGTCAGACCAATGGTCTGTCCAGTCCAGTATCCTGTCTTCTACCAGTGGCCGTTGCCAGATGCTTCAGAGAGAATGAATAAAGGAGGGCAATTTATCAAGTGATCCATCCTCTATCATCCAGTTCCAGCTTCTGGCAGTCAGAGGTTTAGGGACACCCAGAACATAGGGTTGCATTCCTGACCATCTTGGCTAATAGCCATTGATGGACCTATCCTTCATGAATTTATCTAATTCTTTTTTGAACACACTTATGCTTTTGGCATTCACAACATTCCCTGGCAATCCACAGGTTGATATTGCGTTGTGAAGATGTACTTTCTTTTGTTTGTTTTAAACCCGC